AGTAAACAACATTTGTAAACATATCAGTGAGAGCTAGGAAAAATAATCTTGATCCGAACAGCTGCTCGTTATTTCATAGATGATTATGCAATAAAAATTGGATGAAAACTTGACATAAATCGCACAAAACTACATTTTTGAACGTTCGTAATATTATTTACAAAGTAGTGAGGCCATATTTTAATGGCTAAAGACAATCTCGCCAATCCAGTGAATACATTAAAATGACTTGGATCTTGATAGGTACTCTCGTTTTCCAGGAGAAGATAGCGTAAAATGCCATCTTGAGTGTTACAGACAGAGGGAAAGACAGACAGACAGACAGACATAAATTGAGATAAGACTCGTTTCTGCTTATTTAATGTATAAGACGTAAAAATAACCTAAAAATATATAATTATGAGCAATGTACAGACAAAACTCTAATTTTATTTATATAGAAGATAAGGCTTGTTAAGGATTATTATCACAGTTGTGTACACTGTTTATGTTTATTTACATAAGTTAAATTTGTGTTCACATTTTAAATTTATATTATTTTTGTCTTATAATATAATAAGTTATTATTTACCACACATATACTATGCAGTATTTACTCGGCTCGATGCTTTATATGCAATTACTAATTAATTTAGTTATATTAGTTTCTTTTTAATTTTCCTAATGAATTAATATGAGAAATAATAATAGGTTTGTTTTTAAGTGATATGAAGATCGTTTTAAAAAATAAATCATCTATTATGTGAACTGAGGCATGCCTAGTCCCGAGCCCTTGTCGGTATCGCGTCGCGGCGCGGTGGCGGCGCAAGCGGGCGGGACGGGGCGCGCGTTCATGGCAGTCGGCGGCGCTTACTATACTTCAAATGGGTAATTAAAGGGCATAGTAAGTGCTAGTTATGTCGAGTTATATATCATTTTAAAGCTTATTAAATGAAGAATATGTTGAAATAAAAACTCTTTACTAATGATTATTATTGGAGCTATATCTCTTAAATATTCGGAATAAAATTGAAACATTTAGTTTTTACTAACATTAAAGATGGAAATAACTATTAAACTAGTAAATTAATCACAAATCCTACATAACGTGTTCTTAGACCGTAATTTTAGGGATCTAAAAACAACAAGATGTAAGGTCTATCTGAAATAGTTACTGAAATATAAGCGATTTTATAAATCACTGCATTTATCCACCCTTAAAAAATTTGGAGGGCTCTAGGGAAAAAAGCAAGAGGGCTAGGGGTGGGGACTTTTGGCTGGAGACTTGTCTACATAGTAGTAGTCGATGGGAAAAAATCCAGCCTGTTAGTATTTTTTTTTTCTAAAAACCCCAGATTGACTGGACTATATTAAGAAAAAATGCAAAGCCGCTCTGACTTTTTTTACACCAACAGCTGTTACAATTAAATTACAAACATAAGAAGTAAAACAATTTCTTGGCAATCAAGTTCTTGATTTTTAATATCATATTTAACTATATTTTGATCTGTTTGCCCAAAGAAATTTCAAGTAAAAAGTGTAAATGTTCAACAATCGTCGCGTCTTCTGACCGCCAAAGTGTGTTTATCATTCTTTTAAAGGATTAAAACTTATTTTATTTCTCTTTAAGAAAATGTTCAAATATACATACAGTACTACTCATGATTTGAGTTTTAATTTATGAACAGTAAAAGCCATTGGTGGTATGGCGGGATTTGAACCCGGGACCCCATGAACCGGAGTCCCGCGCTCTGGTTAGAGTATTATAAATAATACACAATATAAGTATGACACAAAATAAAAACAAGGACAACGAATTCTAAAAATACCCCCGCCGCAGCAAACCTGCAGACTAAGCAAATTTCCATTCGACTGATTGGATTTACATTGAAATGTCTACTAAAAAATATAACATTTATTCCCGATTTAAATAGAATTAGTTTAAAATGTACTTAGGTTTGCTGCATCAGGGAGGGTAAAACTGTTTTTTTTGTAAAATGTTAATAGTTAGTAAGAAATAAAAACATTTTCCAAATTTGATCAAAATATGTTCATAAACAAGCAAACTACAACAGTTTACTTATTCTCCATAAGAATAACATGGGAATTTTAAATTTACAATTTTTTTAAATTTTCTCCGTAACCATCAGGCGCATAATAACGCTTCAATATACTAAATTATTTGTTTTTTTAAGCTCTACAAAATGGTTTAGAAAGAAATTGCAAAATTTTATGTTTTTTGAGTCAAAAATGGGAAAAACCTATTTTTACCCCATAAAATCCCCCATAAACCCCTGTTCCCATGGTCCGATCATGCTGGATTGCGAACTCGTTTGAATAAACGTAGGTTTACACGTTTGTACCAAATTTCATCAAAATCGGATCATTTTTGCTCGAGTTATCGTGCTGACGGACACATATATATATATATATATATATATGAATTTGAACGAATGGTGTTTTTGGCCTCTAGGGACCTCAAAACGAAAAAAAATCGGTCCCGCGTCCAGGTCTTACCATGAGTAGGCCCTACTACGGTAATAGCTTTATTCCCTATATGGGAAATTCGCTAAAAACAAGTCATCCTTGTGTAAATTACTCACCTTTGAACGTAATATTTGTTTATAAATATGACTTTTCCTCTTAATAGGTTCCTAATATTACGGTTAGAATTTAAATTTTTAATTTTTGTAGCATGATGAAGTCTAAATTTTAAATAGATAATTGATATTTCTGTTGCCAAATCTTCCAGTAACGCATACAACGCAGTATGAAAAGGGGGGCGGGAGAGTAGCGCTGCCTCCCCCAAACCCCACCAGTACGCTGGCTTCAACGAAACTACAGCGTGTTCTCTCCTTAATGTTTAATCCTCCTAGGTAAAAATGGGTTTTTCAAATTTTTTTACCTAAAAACAAAAAAAATTTGTACTTTCTTTCTCAACCATTTTGTACAGCTTAAAAAAAGAAATAATTTAGTATATTGAAGCGCTGTTGTATGCCTAACGGAACGGTCACGGAGAAAATAAAAAAAAGTGTAATTTAAAATTCCCATGTTATTCTTATGGAGAAAATGAAAACTGTTGTAATTTACTTGTTTATGGATATAGTGTTGATAAAATTTGGCAAATTTATTTATTTCATCCTATACTATTGACATATTGTCAAAAACACTTTTACCTTCCCCGTACCAGCTAACCTAAGCACTCGTTAAATCTAATGTTATTTAAATTGGGAATATATAACTTATGTTTTATTTATGTAGTAAATTTGTAGTAAAAAATTTGTATTTATGTAGTAAAAATGTAATCAGACAAGTTGAAATTCGCTTAGTCTGCAATTTTTTAATTGTCTACTTGCTCATGTCAAACAACAGGTAAAATGGGTATTTTTGGAGGATTAGACAAAGTTTTAGGAGTTAATATCTTATTTAAAAAGTCACCTAACGGCTTCAAAAATGTATGTAAAATTTTCCTGGGAGAGGGCCCATACAGACCCCCCTTCTTTCTTTGGTGTGCTCCACACCCCACAACACCCCCTTACAACCGCCACTAACCAAACCCCCCCCCTTCCCGAAAATTTGTCCTGGCTACAGCCTTGCTTGACCAAAAGATTATTCATCTGCAGAAGAAGTTCATTGTGCTCTCATTGTGTCTAATAACACCCAAACACAGAAACCCTGCTTAAAAATATTACCTTTATTGACAGATGATTTACAGTGGCCTGTTACGGACTGTGGTCCACTTGCTTGTGAGGTACTGTATTTTAAAATAACACTACACTTTGACAATAAAAAATTAATTAATAAGTAATTGATAAGGCTGAGCAACTGGACATCCGCATGTTAAGGAATTCCAGCTTTTAACAGTAACCCCATGACCAATTTTTCTCAAAACTATGTTAGAAGGTTATTTATTGGCACAGAAGTACAGCATGTTGACCGACGTAATGAAGGAAAACATCAAACTTACACAGCTTAAGGGTGGACTTTTGAAGTAAGAACGTGCCTTCTCAACAAACAGATATTTTTCCTCAAATAAAAGCATAGATTTAATCTGCATTACACTACACTGATGAAATCGCAGAAGTGTTTACCACAAAAGATCCACCAATACGATTTTAATAATATTTAAAGGTTCTTCCAAAAAGAAGAGATACCAGTTAACATACTAATAATAATAACTTTGATCACGTACTGTATGGTATGGGAAATATTTTATTCATGGAATGATCAACCATACTTTGTAACTAACGCAATAGTGCCAATAGTCATTATTATTTATACACTTATTACTCATTAAATAATGCTAATTGCTCAAAATTTGTATAATTTCACTCTATTTATCACAGTCAGATAAATTAATGTAAGCCTTAAAGGGACCATTGATTTCAACGGGCTTCACCTAGTTTTTAATTAATTTGTTATTTAGTTTAATTTTTAACCATCAGGTTATCAACCAAATACTATTTGGTATTTAGCGTTGGCATTTTTAAATATGTCCAAGATTGGACATTACTGAAGAGGCGCTGATGCAAAATCTTCAAAAATATGCCACAGCTCATTTTTCATCACAACCGCAGTCAGTGGGAACCCGCTATTTCAGTAAAACACACTGCACAGGATTTACATTACATTTGATGCTAATCATATTTTTCGTGTGTTTTTACACTGTGTTTATGTGTAAAAACACCTGTGTGGCCGTAGTCTTAGCCAGGACCAAAACCCAATGATCAAAGTTAGCTGGTTCCATTTTTGAAGCCTCAAAAAGTTACTCTATTGACTTTTCCTAGGATCAATTCGGCAACTTTTGATTATTCACTAGACTAGGTTTGCTATTTTACAGGATTGTAAATATGTCTCTCAAAATCTTTAATTGTATCGGAGAATTTAAATTAAAAAAATACTTGTTACACAGATTTAAAAGGCCTGTGTTGTAAAAAAAATCTAATAATGTTAATGGTCTCTGTGTAGTGACAATAAATTGATGGAATGCAAGTAATGATAAAATAAAAGGAATACTCTGCCAATATGAATCCTTACTTTAATTGTGTTAACCTAGTTTGTGCATAATTTTGCTAACACACTCATCAATATTCTGCAGAGTTTTATAAACATCTTGATACACCTTGCTTGTGGCAGGATGAGAATCTATTGGATATGTTTCCTGTAAACTGGTATTAGGGAGATTGCCATCTTCCACTTTGGGTGGCATTTGTGATCTTGTGGGTGTTGGTGCGTAGTGGCGTTCTGAAGTAGCTCCTGAAATGGCATTATCAGTTATTATTTTAGTAATGGAGACAGCATAGGATTCATCTCCAGATTTGGCGGTATTTTTAGCCTTTGAATCTCCTGTTACATAAGAAGAAACCGACCAAGCAATAATACGTACCGTACATCACAGTTACTGTTAAGAATTGAAGTTAAAAGACTTTCTTAAACTAAGACTTTCATTAACTACTTTTTGGAATTACAATGATCATATAGTTGATTTATGTTCTGACTTTTTGTAAACATTGTGTTGTGTTATGACAAAAATTTAAGAATATGTGTGAGCCTGTTGCTCGAATTTGAGCAATTGCAAAGTATTACGGATGTTATTTCAAAACGAATAACAGTCATAATTTCCGATGACTTAAAAGAGTCAACTCAAAGATAATGTAATCAATCACTCCACTCCACTTATCGAAACTGAAAACGAACCCTTTTGTGTGTATCATGTGTTTACTATGAACAGCTGTAATTAATACAAATTATTCAACTGTTCAAGTTAACAAAATATTTTCTTCATAAGAAATACATTGGGATTTAAATAGCCTGTGGGGCAAAGTTCGAGGACTTTTGTTACAGGAATTGGTGAGTGGTCTACACAAAAAATACTTAATTTTGACACATCATTTGTAAAAATCTGTCCATTATTAACGGAGGAGTAGTGTTTCGTAGAAATCGCTTCACGTATTATTATAAGGATGGCTGAGCTGACAAAACTAAAGAAATCAAGATCTGATATTCGAAGGACATTTACTGTGACAGTTAAATAACTTAAAGATATTTTTAAGAAAGAAATAGATGATTTTACACAAGTATCAGCACCGCTTGAAAATAATAATAATCATTTTTGCACTCTGAACGACCTAAATTCGTCAATATATGATCAATTATTAGAAGGTGATGGGAGAAATGAAGGACATTGATGAAGAACTTCTAGGGCAAAGTGAATATATTGTACAATATCATCTTGTTTCTAAGAAGTGGATCATCTAAAAATTTATGAAAAGAATTCACTTAAAGATGAATAAAGTGAAATAACGTAACAAAGTTCAGGGTCAAATAAAGCAGGACGCTGATACAAGTTACCTTAATTTGAAACTAAAAGAGTTTAACAGGGAACTAGGCGAGTGGTTTCCATTTCGGATCAATTAAGAAGATCGACCAAGACCAAACTGTATACCCAGCAGATAAGATCCAGTATCTTATAATGGCAACTGCTGTTGGATCGCCTGCCCGTGACTTGGTTGAAAGCTACCCCTGCAACACCTGAAATGTACAACGAAGTTGTTGAAGCTCTGAAGAGTCGATCGGAAGAGACGATCTCTTCAGAGCACATGAGGCAAATGTTGGCTCTAACGATATAGAACGTCACAAGTAAAGAAAAACCAACTTTGTCGGTATTTTTATGACAAGATCCAGTTACACTTAAAGAATGTTAAGTGACTTCAGAGCATTTGCCTCACTGTTATTTCCATCAAGTCTGCTCGAAGACGTCCTCAAACTTTGGTAGAGAACGATGAACCACAACTCCAACAATCATAAAAGTTCCTCAAAAGATTTCCTGGAGAATTTGTGGCGTTCCTTACAAACGAAGTAGAGGGGAAACAAAAAGTCTCCATGGAATTGGAAGGGTTTGGAATTGCAAGTTCCTCTCAAGTTTTTTGGGATCTTCTAATAAAACAAATAAAACTTTGAGAAGCAAAACGAACAGAAAGCCTTTTGAGAAACAGCCTTCGGTTGCGGCACTTGTATTGACTACGGAAGGTACTTATTCATTGACTTGTGTGTTTTGTGATAAAACCAAAAAACCACAGATCTCAAGATTGGGTGAAAGCTTTGGATATGACTCTTCTTAAGCAAAAAGATATTTTAAAGAAGAAAGGATCTTCTTTCAAGTGTTTAAAAGGTCAACACATGAGTAATTCCGGTAAAGGTATGGTAAAGTAGGCAACTTGTTAAGAAAACACTATCCGATTAAATGTGAAGATCTACAAAAGAAAATAAACCACTTTCCTTAAATAAAACTAAAAAATCTGATGAACAGGTACCTATTTCTGAGGATAGTACAAGTCAGGCATTAGTGTCGAGTACAGTACTAGTAAATCAACAGTGGTTTATCTAAGCACGCTTCTTGTGAAAATCATTGTGGGAACCCAAGAACACACAGTTTGTACGTTGATTGACTCTGGGAGCCAAAAAATTTATATTTGAATCTGATTTAAAACTGAAGAGAATGGGTAAAACTGTGACAAGTCAAGAGTTGTTTGGGGGACAAAAAACAAATTTAAGGTTTCATGGAGTTTATTCTGTAAAACTTCAATCCACAAACTGATGGTTTTAATGAAGATTTCAAAGTTTTGGACACACCTCGTATCCGCAGATTCATACCTAAAATGTCGGACGTCAGAATATATGAAAATCTCAAAGCAAAAGGTGTGATATTGTCGGATTTTTGTGGATCATCAGAAGGAAGTAAGTGACATACAGTTGCTTCTTGGAGCTGACAGTTGGCCTAAATTGTTTACATCGGAGTATGTAAAAACAGGTAATGATTTGGCTGCTGTGAAAATAAAACTAGGATGGACACTAGTTGGTGAATCTGAATCAGACAGTGCAACTAGAATGACTTCTTAGATGTTATTGATTCTTACAAATAAAGTTAACTGGCACGAAAAAACTTCAGGAGTGAATAGGATAGTCAAGTAGCTTAGTTTAAAAAAAATACTGTTTAAGAAGAAGATTCTGGGAGATATGTCGTGCATCTTCCTTGGAGTGAAGGACAGCCTGTACTAGAGGACAACAAATACGTCGCAGAAAAGAGACTTTGTTCTACTACCAAGAAACTGAAACTTATTGGTAAGTACGATGATTTATGATTCTGTGTTTGGTTCATGGCTTAAACTTGAAATAACCGAGAAATAAATGAGGAGTTGAATAATATTAATGTACACTACCTTCTCCATAGAGCTGTTTTTAAAGAAAGTATTACAACTAAGGTGCGCCTAGTGTTTGACGCATCCATTGTCAACACTAAATGGTCATAGTTTGAACAATTCCATGGAACAAGGTCCTAACATAATTGAGCTAATACCACTTGTTCTAACTAAATTCAGACAAAATGCTATTGGTTTCATATCGGATATTGAAAAGGCATTTCTTCAGATTTCAGTATGCCCTGATGACAGAGATAATATATTTTGGACTGACTCTACAGTTGTCCTGGCATGGATCAACAACAACCATCATCAGTGGTCGGTTTTCAGAACAGAGTTAAAAAAATTGTTTCAGTTAGCTCTGCCCAACAGTGGAGACATATTCCGGGCTCCATCAACCCAGCGGATCTGCTCTCTAGCGGTCATTTTCCAACCCAGCTAATAAAATCTCGATGGTGGGAGGGAAGAACATTGTTGTTGCTATCAGAACATGAATGGCCAAAATTTGAAATGATCCCTGATCCAAATGAGGTTAACAATGGAGTTAAGAAAACAGGAACTTTGGTAGCTGTTGTTTCAAAAGAAAACTTGTTTTCTCTGTCATGCTTGACCCAAGACTTAGGAAGTTATTTCAAGATAATAAGAACTGAAGCTAGAATTCTCGACTTCATTTGTCTAATAGCTCCAAATTTCACTAATTTTTGTAGTCTAACTGTAAACCCAATTTTGGAGCATGTGACAAGTGAGAAGTATATTAATTTTGAAGTGGTCTTATTGCATTCTATACACTTTGAAATCTCTGATGTTTGTGATGTGTGACCAACAAAAATTTAAGAATATACAGTTTTGTAAGAATAGAATAGAACAGGGTTTTTATTAAAGTTACTTGTAAGAACCTTAAATGAGGAAATATTTATTATTTTTAATGGAATTTCCCCTAAAGTTGTAAAAGTTACCTTGAGTACTTGACATGGGAACCCACTTAGGACAAGATGAGATGGTCCATTTTCCTCCCTTAGGAAGGGGCGGAAGTTCTTGTCCTTCAGGTAAATATTCTGGGTTGCCTGAAGCGTTCATAAACCATGTCCCATAATGCCTCCCTTTTAGGTAAGGAACTAAGACTGCATGCCCTGTATAATGCATAATCCACTCGCCATCAGGAGGGGGTGATACACATTCCCCTTTTTGTGTAACAACCCACTCAGGCCTTCCACAAGATAAGATGGTCCATTTTCCTCCCCGAGGAAGGGGAGGAAGTGGTTTTCCATAGGGTAAATATTCTGGTTTGCCTGAAATGTTCATAAACCATGTCCCATTAAGTTGTTTGCCAGAAACATTTAACACTACATGCCCTGTTTCATTTATAATCCATTTGCCACAAGGGAGAGTGGTTTGTTCTTCAGTTGTAATTGTAGGGTTTTGTGTAACAACCCACTCAGGCCTTCCACAAGATAAGATGGTCCATTTTCCTCCCCGAGGAAGGTTAGGAAGTGGTTTTCCATAGGGTAAATATTCTGGTTTGCCTGAAATGTTCATAAACCATGTCCCATTAAGTTGTTTGCCAGAAACATTTAACACTACATGCCCTGTTTCATTTATAATCCATTTGCCACAAGGGAGAGTGGTTTGTTCTTCAGTTGTAATTGTAGGGTTTTGTGTAACAACCCACTCAGGCCTTCCACAAGATAAGATGGTCCATTTTCCTCCCCGAGGAAGGGGAGGAAGTGGTTTTCCATAGGGTAAATATTCTGGTTTGCCTGAAATGTTCATAAACCATGTCCCATTAAGTCGTTTGCCAGAAACATTTAACACTACATGCCCTGTTTCATTTATAATCCACTTGCCAGAAGGGAGAGTGGTTTGTTCTTCAGTTGTAATTGTAGGGTTTTGTGTAACAACCCACTCAGGCCTTCCACTAGATGAGATGGTCCATTTTCCTCCCTGAGAAGTGAAGGAAATATTTTTCCATCGGGTAAAAATTCTGGTTTGCCTGAAGTGTTCATAAACCATGTCCAAAAAGCCTCATTTTTTGGAAAGGAACTAAGATTGCATACCTGTATGATTTATAGTCCACTCGCCAGGAGGGGGAGGGTTTGTTCTTCAGTTGTAATTGTAGGGTTTTGTGTAACAACCCACTCAGGCCTTCCACTAGATGAGATGGTCATTTTCCTCCCTGAGGAAGTGAAGGAAATATTTTTCCATCGGGTAAAAATTCTGGTTTGCCTGAAGTGTTCATAAACCATGTCCCAAAAAGCCTCATTTTTTGGAAGGAACTAAGATTGCATACCCTGTATGATTTATAGTCCACTCGCCAGGAGGGGGAGTGGTTTGTTCTTCAGTTGTAACTGTAGGGTTTTGTGTAACAACCCACTCAGGCCTTCCACTAGATGAGATGGTCCATTTTCCTCCCTGAGGAAGTGAAGGAAATATTTTTCCATCGGGTAAAAATTCTGGTTTGCCTGAAGTGTTCATAAACCATGTCCCAAAAAGCCTCATTTTTTGGAAAGGAACTAAGATTGCATACCCTGTATGATTTATAGTCCACTCGCCAGGAGGGGGAGTGGTTTGTTCTTTCAGTTGTAATTGTAGGGTTTTGTGTAACAACCCACTCAGGCCTTCCACTAGATGAGATGGTCCATTTTCCTCCCTGAGGAAGTGAAGGAAATATTTTTCCATCGGGTAAAAATTCTGGTTTGCCTGAAGTGTTCATAAACCATGTCCCAAAAAGCCTCATTTTTTGGAAAGGAACTAAGATTGCATACCCTGTATGATTTATAGTCCACTCGCCAGGAGGGGGAGTGGTTTGTTCTTCAGTTGTAACTGTAGGGGTTTTGTGTAACAACCCACTCAGGCCTTCCACTAGATGAGATGGTCCATTTTCCTCCTGAGGAAGTGAAGGAAATATTTTTCCATCGGGTAAAAATTCTGGTTTGCCTGAAGTGTTCATAAACCATGTCCCAAAAAGCCTCATTTTTTGGAAAGGAACTAAGATTGCATACCCTGTATGATTTATAGTCCACTCGCCAGGAGGGGGAGTGGTTTGTTCTTCAGTTGTAATTGTAGGTTTTGTGTAACAACCCACTCAGGCCTTCCACTAGATGAGATGGTCCATTTTCCTCCCTGAGGAAGTGAAGGAAATATTTTTCCATCGGGTAAAAATTCTGGTTTGCCTGAAGTGTTCATAAACCATGTCCCAAAAAGCCTCATTTTTTGGAAAGGAACTAAGATTGCATACCCTGTATGATTTATAGTCCACTCGCCAGGGAGGTGGAGTGGTTTGTTCTTCAGTTGTAACTGTAGGGTTTTGTGTAACAACCCACTCAGGCCTTCCACTAGATGAGATGGTCCATTTTCCTCCCTGAGGAAGTGAAGGAAATATTTTTCCATCGGGTAAAAATTCTGGTTTGCTGAAGTGTTCATAAACCATGTCCAAAAAGCCTCATTTTTTGGAAAGGAACTAAGATTGCATACCCTGTATGATTTATAGTCCACTCGCCAGGAGGGGGAGTGGTTTGTTCTTCAGTTGTAATTGTAGGGTTTTGTGTAACCACCCACTCAGGCCTTCCACTAGATGAGATGGTCCATTTTCCTCCCTGAGGAAGTGAAGGAAATATTTTTCCATCGGGTATAAATTCTGGTTTGCCTGAAGTGTTCATAAACCATGTCCCAAAAAGCCTCATTTTTTGGAAAGGAACTAAGATTGCATACCCTGTATGATTTATAGTCCACTCGCCAGGAGGGGGAGTGGTTTGTTCTTCAGTTGTACATGTAGGGTTTTGTGTAACAACCCACTCAGGCCTTCCACTAGATGAGATGGTCCATTTTCCTCCCTGAGGAAGTGAAGGAAATATTTTTCCATCGGGTAAAAATTCTGGTTTGCCTGAAGTGTTCATAAACCATGTCCCAAAAAGCCTCATTTTTTGGAAAGGAACTAAGATTGCATACCCTGTATGATTTATAGTCCACTCGCCAGGAGGGGGAGTGGTTTGTTTTTCAGTTGTACATGTAGGGTTTTGTGTAACAACCCACTCAGGCCTTCCACTAGATGAGATGGTCCATTTTCCTCCCTGAGGGAGTGAAGGAAATATTTTTCCATCGGGTAAAAATTCTGGTTTGCCTGAAGTGTTCATAAACCATGTCCCAAAAAGCCTCATTTTTTGGAAAGGAACTAAGATTGCATACCCTGTATGATTTATAGTCCACTCGCCAGGAGGGGGAGTGGTTTGTTCTTCAGTTGTACATGTAGGGTTTTGTGTAACAACCCACTCAGGCCTTCCACTAGATGAGATGGTCCATTTTCCTCCCTGAGGAAGTGAAGGAAATATTTTTCCATCGGGTAAAAATTCTGGTTTGCCTGAAGTGTTCATAAACCATGTCCCAAAAAGCCTCATTTTTTGGAAAGGAACTAAGATTGCATAACCTGTATGATTTATAATCCACTCGCCAGGAGGGGGAGTGGTTTGTTCTTCAGTTGTAATTGTAGGGTTTTGTGTAACAACCCACTCAGGCCTTCCACTAGATGAGATGGTCCATTTTCCTCCCTGAGGAAGGGGAAGAAGTTGTCTTCCATCGGGTAAAAATTCTGGGTTGCCTGAAGAGTTCATAAACCATGTCCCATAAAGTGGACTTTTTAGGAAAGGAACTAAGACTGCATGCCCTGTATGATTTATAATCCACTCGCCATCAGGAGGTGATACCCATGAATCGAATGGTTTCGGTAGTGGGATTCTATCTGATGATGGTAACTGGCAACTCTTGGTTGGTACAGGTGCCAAGGACCTCTCAGTTTCTAGCTTATTGCCTTGTGGGTCAGAGTTCAGAATGGTTTCAAGTGAACCAAGCAGATGAAGAAGTTGTTTGACATACAATGATAACTGGCTGCTCTGAGCTTGCGCCATTTTTTTATTTTTCCCTAATAAGTTCTTCTGAGGAATAATATTTATAAAGTATAGTGATGTCTTCACATTTTAAAATTTTGCTTCAATAATCTTGAGCCTGTCTTGAGTTCCTGGAATAAATTGTACTGATTAGCACTGTCAACTATTAATGCTACAATAAAATATACACCTACATGATAACCGTACGTTTTGAAAAAAAATTAAACATGATAAGTTGATTTACGCATATAGTAAGATTTGAACATTATTGTAAAATCTAAAAGTGTTTGGTCAGCAGTACTGTATTATATAGCCTACTTTTCAACATTATTACTTTTACTATTTGACAAGCTGTAACCTGCGGGCTTTGCCCCGTTTAACTTCTTAATTTTCAAGATGATCTCGTTCGCATGGCTCAATCACGTCCTGGTTGAAGTTCGTTCGCTATGCTCACTCACCTTTATGTTGGAGCTCGTTCGCTACGCTCACTCACCTTTAGGTTGGAGCTCGTTCGCTGCGCTCACTTGCCTTCAGGTTAGCTCGTTCACTACGCTAACCCGCCTCAAGGTTGAAGTTTGTTCGCTATGCTCACTCACCTTTTGGTTGCAAATTAGCTGTTGTCATAAATGTAAAAGAAATAATAGTGCTACACCCTGTTGGTAATCCTTGTAACTTTAATGCTATTGAACATCATAGAACAGAACCAACTTGTTTAATTGAAACAGCTGTTAAGATTCATTAATTCCATTTCTCATAAGGTTAACATGGGAAACTCCAGAGCCACTTGGGCGGAGCCTATTGGACGGATCACGAAATTGATGGTGTATAAACCTATTCCATGAAATTCTACACGTATGTACCAAGTTTCGTGGCAATCGGTTCAGCGGTGTCTGAGTTTATCACTGCCAAACAAATATATATATATATATATACAAACATCCTCTTTTATACTTATAGATTAAATTATTTTACATCATCATTTCATCACATTTAAAAGCAAACCACATTATTACCAAGCATGTTAGAACTATAAATTACATTGAACGCCTAACGGATATTAAAAAATAAAAATAGGAATAAAACCAATAATAGGAGTATAATTCTTGTATAGTATAATTATAAAAAAATTATATGATTTATAGTTTCCATGATCGAAAACTCGACCTAAAAAATCTCTATTGTAAAAACCTCTCTATTTTTACCCCTCGCTGTAAATAAACATGGGATTGTAATTTCTTACATTTGCTTCGATTTTCTGTATATATTTTGTTGTTATTTCGTAACCAGCATAAGTAGTGCAGTAGAAATAATCGAAAATATAACTTAAGGTGGAACTAATTGCAACACAAATGATTCTTGCTGTGAATGGTAGGTAGTATGCTTCTAATCAACATACTAAAAATATACATCCGTACTGTGGCGCAAAATACGTTTTTTGGCCGCCATCTTGAAAAAAGTGTAAAAATTTTAATATTCATAAAAATAACTTTTTGGGTATCAAATTATAGGAAATTTAATGCTGAAAAATGTTATAATAGTGGTTATAAGCACTATTTAGAAATACAATCGTAGTACAAAACACCCCCGCCGCAGCAAACCTGCAGACTAAACAAATTTCTATTTGTCTTAATTGATTTTCAATTAAATCTAGTAATTCATAGTTTTAAACATCTTTGTACAACTAAATCTAGAGTTCTACTGGACCGATTTTATAACCTAATGGGTCATTGGAAAGGAATTCGTGTAGATTTTCAAATAATTATTAAAGTTTGATTTTTTAAGATTTGCTAGATGAAACCCGTCAACGTCGACAATTAGCTTAGGTACTGTTGAGTTTGCAAGTAAGATCTTTTAACTATAAATCGATGATAGATAACTCCATTTTTAAACAATTTGGGTCGTTTATAATTTAGCAGTGTGCTTTAGGTACGTCCAATCTCAATAATCAATAATTCCAATGGAATCTGGTATTTCACTGAAGATTTTTAGATAAAAAGATATAGGATAATGTAACTGCTGAAAAACATTTTTAATTGAAGTAAAAATTGAAAAAAATCCAATTTAATTGTTTTCGTAGATACATTTGATAGATTAATTATGATAAATATGTGCTTGCATAGCTTTGAGACCAAAATTATTAAAATCGGTCTGGTAGAAGAGCCAAACGAATTCGAAAAAAAAACAAATTTAACTCCCGTAAGTAATGTACAGTGAGGCAGTTTGTGCATAGCTCAAATATACGTCAAAATGAGTGCTGATGCTTAATAGCAAATCTATGGTGTGTCTATAGCTTTAGTTTAAAGCCGATTTTACACTACGTAGCAAAAACTGCTATATAACTTTTGCTATATAACATTGCTTTATAACTTTTGCTGTATGACAAATTTACAAACAATTTTAGTGATTCTGGTGCTCGTGCTATATGTTATATGTAACACAACCTCATTCGCATTCCGTATCGAAATGTGCGCTGAAGAGACTGTTTGTGGCAGCTATCGTGGTGATCTTGGAAGTCAGAGAGAGAGACAGACAGGAGCGAAGATTTTAGCAAGTTTTAGGTTTGACCGCTTCTTGCTTCAAGAAATAAGTACAGTGTAGCAGATTTATTACGGGACCTTAATGATTATGAATACCCTGACAATCCATAATTAAAACGCTAAATAAGGCGACGGTAACTTCAAAAACGTTTTACGTATGATCACAACGCCGGTTGTCCACGGAACAGTTCAATTAAGTTTATAATATCAATAGCCCCGATAATATCATCCCGATCCTAGGGCACTGCCACTTTCCGTTTCCAGTCCATCCATTCTAAACAAAGATCGCTGAGCAAAACCGTTCAGCGCTACATATAGCAGATGCTAGACGAAAATATATGTATATCATTGCTACATATGGCAATGTTAGATGTAGCACGTATTTCTTTTGATATTTACCGACTCCTGATGGATAGCACAATTTTAGCTATATATAGCAGGATCTGCTACATATAGCAGTGTTATATAGCACTTTTGTAAAGTTACTTTTTCTACTTCTAGCAAATGTTATATTACATTGCTAGATGTTACACAAATCTGCAATGTAGCAGGTTTAGCTACATAGTGTAAACCCGGCTTAAGGCCAAAATTATGAAAATCGGTCTTGTAGAAGAGCTAACCCGACTTGGAAAAGAAAAACCAATTATTTTTATAGATGGCAATAATTGATTTACCAGTATGCATAATCTAACCATACGAAAAATGAGTTGATAATTTAACAGCTTATTGTTAGGTATATTGTTATTTAATTAAATTTTCTTTGATTAAATATTGTTGTTAACAAATTGCATTTGTGTTTAAAGTGTGTTTCTTATGTTAAGTGTGTGATTCTAATGTTATGAGCTTAATATGTACCAAATATTAGTGAGTAAAGTGGTGTATGGATTTCATAACCTGAAACCAATTAAGTGTGTTTTTAGTAACATATATTAATTGTTTAGTATAAAATAAATAAATCTTTAAAGTTTTATCAAAATATATCCATAAACAAGGAAACTACAACTTTTTACCATATTCTCCATAAGAATAACATGGGGATTTCAAATTTCCAATTTTTTGAATATTCCCCGTCACCAATAATCGTACAAAACCCCTTTGATATACTTAACTATTGTTTTTAAGCTCTTTAAAAAGGTCTAGAGAGAAATTAGGAAATTTTACGTTTTAAGGGTCAAAAATGAAAAAAACAAATTTTAAAAGTATAAAATAACTTATAAATAAAAAACTTTTCAAATGCCACGTTTTTAAACGCACCTTTTTTCGCCCATAGTGCATCACCGTTAACAGTATATTTTAAATTCAACCATTATATTCTTTTCCAGCATGAAAATGTTCTATAATTTGATACTTAACCAGATTTTTTAACAATAATTTAAAATTTTACACTTTTTTAAATGGCGACCAAAAAACCGTATTTTGCGTAACAGTACAAATGTATATTTTTAGTATGTTTTTTAAAAGTGTATTACCTACCATTTCTAACTGGAATAATTTCTGTTGCAATTAGTTCCACCTCAAACCCTATTTCTACTGCACTAAAGACCCATAAGGCCCATATGTTAATTTTTTTAATTTTAAATTCATTTTTTGTGTTTTTTATTTTATTTTAAATTTGGGGATTCTGATTCTGTACATCTACAGGAAAATATCTTTCCCACAGTATGCGTATATTTTCCCTGTGATGCACACAAGCTGAGAAAAAGGGTTTTAAAGAAATATGCTTGCCTATTAATATACAGGTGAGTTTTAATTGTCCCCCCCCCCAACTTTTTTCTACATTTTTTCAAATATCAATCCCAGACCCCTTCCAAACATTGTTGGGTAGTAAGTACTTCATTTTGACAAGGTGGTCATTTCCGGCCGCCATCTTGGATCCGCCATATTGGATGCAAAATAATTTTTTCAAATGTAAAGGTTGGGTTGTGACCCATTATTCCAAACTAGATTTTTACCCTGATTACAATGCCGCAAACCGTTAAAAAAAATCTTGATTCATTCCAAAGTTATGAGGACTTTTTAAATTTTTATTTTTAGCCCATTTTAACATTGTGCATTTACAAACTAAGACCATAATCTCAAAATAGTGCTAGATAAAGATAAGTATACACTACCAGTCCTTGCCAACATATTTTCACTTGGTTATGACTGATGTATTTTTTTCGGCCGCCATCTTGGATCCGCCATTTTGAAATGTGATAAATTATTTTCAATATGAAGGGTGTGTTGTGACCCATCATTTCGGATTACTTTTTTAAGCTGAACTCAATTCCATGATCCATTTTTCATTTTCATATTTTGATTTTGAAATATTAACATTTTTAACAAAACAATTGCAATATTTCATAAACAAAACTTGATAACAAAAAATGGATTGCGGCATTGAGTTTAGCTTAAAAAAGTAGTTCGAAATGATGGGTCACAACACACCCTTCAATATTGAAAATAATTTATCCCATTTCAAAATGGCGGATCCAAGATGGCGGCAAAAAAAAATTCATCAGTCATAACCAAGTGAAAATAGGTCGACAATAACTGGTAGTGTATACTTATCTTTATCTAGCACTATTTTGAGATTATGGTCTTAGTTTGTACAT